CCCGCTCCCCACCCCTGCCCTGGAAGCCCCACGTTGTTGACTCTCCATCCCCAGATCACTTTGACCACATCAGGACAGTCATTGGATCCAAGTTCATCGGTATCGGTGGAGATTATGATGGGACCAGCCGGTGAGTGCTTCCCTGTGGCTTGTCAGAGGCTGGCTGTGCAGCAGTGGGGCCTTCACAGCCTCCGTGCCCACCACAGCATTGTCCTCATGGTCTTTAGGCTTTGACCACACCCTCAGGTCTGCTGGCCCACCTGGCATCTCCCCTCCCAGGGTCTGTTTCCTGGGCCCCCTGTCTGTGGCCCATTGGCCACACTCTAGGTCACCATATTTGGCTGAGCCACCAGACAGAGCTCATCTGCCCAGCATGTGCATCCAACCCCAGTGCCAGCAGACTCTCTGCCTATGAGCAGACTTTCAGCAACATCTGGTTGCTGAAAGCAGACCATCTTTCTGCTTGCAGTTAGGACTGTGCATGTAGGGGTTCAACCCAGTTCTTAAAAAGCTTTTCTTCTTTTTACATATAGAGAAAAAAATGCATTCAGTGAAAGGCATAGATCTTAATAATACAATTCAAATGAGCTTTGATGAATATTCAAGAAGGTTTAGGTCCTGAAAGATGAAGAGTGGGGGTGCATCATTTACTCTCTCCAAGTCTCCATTCCCCGTATCTGACCAGGGCTGGGTTCAGTGGACCTCGGATGCATGGGGCTGTGGTTCTGAGTCAGGACCAGGGAACAGGTCTGGGGTTCAACAGCTGGTTACCTGGCGGCCATACAGTTTCCCTCAGGGGCTGGAAGATGTGTCCACATACCCAGTGCTGATAGAGGAGCTGCTGAGGCGTGGCTGGAGTGAGGAAGAGCTCCAGGGTGTCCTTCGAGGAAACCTGTTGCGGGTCTTCAGACAGGTGGAACAGGTATGCTGGGCTGGGCAAAAGAGTAACTCGGGAGTCCAAGCAGGTGTATTGGGGGGAAGTGTGGGAGCTGCTGACCACCAACTGCTGCCTCCAGGTGCGGGAGGAAAAGAAGGGGCAGAGGCCCTTAGAGGATGAATTCCCGGTGGAGCAGCTGGACAGCTCTTGCCGCTCCATCCTCCCGCGGCTGCATCAGAGACAGTATGTTGCTCTGGACCGGAAACTAACTGAGACTCCTATGCGTTGGACACCTGAGTTGTCACCTAAGAAGTCATTCTCAAATTCATCCCCACACGTGGTCCCAAGCCTCACAATTATTGCTGCCTTCCCAGTTGTCATTCTGTGGCTCTGGCGACTCACTTAATCTTGTCAGATGTCACTTTGGCAGCTGTGGACACCCCACAAAGATCTCCCTTCATGCATACACAAGTATTTACTGAAAATAAATATTTTAGACTGGAACCAGACGTGAGTGTCTTTCTCTGTGATGGGTCTGAGGGTGCAGGCTCCCAGGGCTGGTGATTGGTGGGGAACCCTGCACCTGAAGAAACTCAGGTGACTGGGCCCAACACTGGAAGACAGTGGGTGGCTCTGGCTGCATGAGGGTGGACCCTACTCTACATTCCCTCTGAATAGCTCACCTCAGTCCCCATCCTGACCCACTGACCAACACCTGGGGATCTTTCAAGGAATTCCAGTTCACTTTCCTAAGTAGAGAACCTGCCTGGATCACAAGTGATCTTTGTTCCTATTTGGACAGAGCCCAGGATGTCAGGCCACATGTGGGCCATGGGCCTCCAATGGCTAGACTGCCCTGGATATAGGCCCGCCACTCCCCGGCCCTACAGGGACTTCCTCTCTGAGAGGCACCAGCTGCGTAAAGACAACCACCCCATCTCACCCCAAGCCATTAATAATAATAGCAACTGCATTAATAGCCAAAATTAAGAGTTAGTGATCACAGCTAAAAATAATAAACATGATGATAGATAATGGCTAATAAAAATAACAGTACTGATAGTCTATGCATATCCCATGGCTGAGCAGTTTCACCCCAAATATATATCCAAGAAGAATGTATGTATACATTTCCCCAAAGACACATGAAATAATAACTATAGCCGTACTATTCATAGTAACCCCAAACCATGCAGTTCGAAGTCAAAGTTCAAGGAGCCAAAGACAAAAGAATATCTTAGAAGTAGTGATTTTTTAAAAAGCACATTAACTTGAGGAACAACAATACTGACAACTGAATTTTCAAGAGAAATAATGGAAATGTATACACAGTGGAATATCTTTAACCTAATGAATGAACATAACTATACCATTCATAGTGGCATCTTGTAAAAGAAATTATAGTAAACTGCAGTTATTTAAAAATTATTTGGTCAAGAGAAATTGTCAAATGTGCCCTCTCTGAACAGAAAATAAACTAAACAAAGAAGTAGATTTCAAAAATACTTTTCATGAATTTGCTTCCATTAAAGCCAGTATAACAAAATTATAATTCCGGTTTGGATATACATAAAATTATAGACATGTGAAATAACATCATGAATTTTAGTATACCGACTTTCCAGCTCTTTAATATTTTTAAACTATTTTAATGTCCTGTAAAGGTTAACCATTAAAAAATACATTAAAATATACATCAAAGCGCACATTTTCCTCTTTCCACAGGCTCCAAGTTGGCTGGGTTCTGCACTGGCACTCAGAAAGCCATAATAACACTCTCTATTCATTTCACTGGTTCTCTCCTTTCTTGACTCCTTTTGGATCAATTGAATAACACTCTGAAATCACCTTAATCCCATTTAAGATCCTTCCAACTGACCTGATCCAGCTCAGGGTCCATTTAGGAAGAAATGGGAAGATGCAAGGGAAGATAGAACCTTAGCGGAAGGTCCTGTGTTGCTGGAGCTCAGGCTTCTGAGATGAGGCCGGAGGGTACTCAGCTGGTGCGGGTGTTCCAAATGGACGTGGCAAGGCTACTCTGTGACAGCCCCAACTTGGACTGAAGCCAGCTGCCACTGCTGGAGAGGCACTGAACAAAAAAAGCATTTCCCTTTTCTCCTTCTGAATTTAAGTTTCCTGCACCACCCTCAGCCTCACAGAGCAGAGAATAGAAGGTTGGACCTGGAGTTTAGAAACAACTGCTTAATAACGAGGATTGCTGCAAGCCTGATTCACTCCTTCGTGTTTCACCTCAAAAGTGTCCATCATGGCTCTCCTCACCTTGGACCCTGGATGTTAACCTGTCTTCTTAGCCCCACAATGCCGCTACTGGAAGAAACAGCCCAAATTGGAAGCACCTCTGGGTTTCCACACTCTCTGGATCTTTGACAAGCAATTTTTTAATATCTTGTTAATTCACTGATGTGATCAGGAAGATGCTTTTTATTAAATTTTGCCCATCTTTTCTAGTTGTTGTCAAAAGGAGTGTAACTTTGATTTACTTAATCAACCAAAACCAGGCATTTAGAATTGTTTATGTATGGATAACATTTTAAAATTTTACTGTAAACATTAAGCCCTCACCTTTCATCTACATTAATATAGGAAACAGCTGTATGTGCAGTACTTTTGCATTTTTAGTAAACTATCAGTGAAGTTATTATGTTGTTTAATATCACTTAAATGAAGACCTCCATGGCAAGTCAGCTAAGGTGTATAAGAGGCCAGAATAAATATTTATTTCTTCCTCTCCCCTCTCGCCCCACCCTCTTCCTGAGAGAACCAAAGCTGGAGGTGGTTGGGTCAGACTTGGCCCTTAACACCAAGGCATGAAGAGGGGGCAGCAATGGACAGGGGCACCAGAAGTCAAGGCCCTTCTCCTGGCGCCCTGAGGGGAAGCTCACTTCCCAGGGAGCCAGCTGGAAGAACAGGGGACAGGTGCAGATGTAAAACTGAGGACAACTCAATTCAGTCTCTGTTGTTGGCCCCTCAGCCTGGTAGGATCTGGTACAGGCCCAGGAGGCTCAGATGCCACCCAAGTGCAGTTCTGAAATCAATTCTCCCTAAATTAGGGCTTTTTCTGCAGAAAACAATGAATTATACCGTTCAGGACTATGGCCAACCTGGAAACCACCTTGTATTGAAGGAGGATTTCTGCCCCAGGTGAAATCATGTGTCAAACCTAAAACCCTCCCCGCACCATGCTCTTAGCACCAAGAGCTCTAACCTGACCTTATCACCCTCCATGCCTTCAAGGGTCTTCCAGTTCCTCCGCCACAGCACAGTCATCCTGCCCAAACCAGACCTTTGCCTGGGCCACTGGCCAACCTGGGATGCCCTCTCCACTCCCCCGGCCGGATCCAGGCCCCATCCTCTCAAGGCTCAGCCACTGCTTTGGTGCCTCCACTAGCGTCCTAAGACCCTGGCCAGCCCTCACCAGCACTACCAACAGATTCCCTCAGCCGGGATAACTGTATCAGAGAAGGAGATAATACATAAATTGACCAGGGAGTTGGTAGCCCCCTTCCCAAGATGGCTATATTAACTGTTTAGTAGGCATAGTCCTCCAGAGTCTTTTTTTTTTTTTTTTTTTTTTTGGTACATATATTAACATGTACAGAAGCAAATTTCAACACTAGATGCTAAAACAAAATGGTCTCCCATAAATTTATTTTTAAATTTCATTTTCATTACATATATAGGAAACTTTTTTTCTGTCAGTCAAGAGAGATCTACCGGTAATTCACTCTTCTGAGTCGGGACTTAGAATTTTATGCAATAGTTGACATGTTGGAGACACATCCCCGCAACTAAAACTCCACATAGACCTGCGACTTGTCTGACTACGGGCGAGATTAGGAACATTCCTAGGCCCTCCCAGATCCCGGCGCTGGCCCACTCCTTTAGTCAGTCTGTCGCTCCAGGAGAGGAGCCTGGCGGAGGGAGGCCGGGCGGAGGGAGCCCGCAATGCGTCGCCAGAGGGCGCTCGCGGCGGGGGCGGGCCTGGCCCATTGGGGTGCTCTCCGGTTGAGGGTAGGAAGGCCGTGCCGCCCCCTGGCGGCCACGCAGTGCGACGCTTTGCTTTGCGGATCCCCGGGCGTTTTCCTGGCATCTTGGCTCTCCTCACGAGGCCGCGCCACTGAGTTGGCTAAAACGACGGTCGGGACCCCGTCGTCGCCATCTGCCCGCCTGCCAGGACCGCTGCAGCATGCGGCCCGCGGTCTTCGAGTGTCTCCGCGTGCTTAGCCCGCAGCCTCTGCTGCGTCTGCTGTTCTTGCTGTCGCTGCTGCCACAGCCAGTAGCCCGTGCCCAGACAAAGTGGGGTGCACCCAGCTCGCCAGCAGAGCTGGGAACCACCAGCGACACGACCACGCCCGGCATCCCTAGTGCCCCAACCCCGCCAGAAACCCTCAAAGCCCGGAGACTGCAGGAGCACGCGCGGGCCTTGATGCGGGACTTCCCGCTAGTGGATGGGTGCGTAGAAGCGGTGTGCGGGCCTGTGGTGGATGAACTCACCCCTAGGCAGGGGAGGGGTCCTGAGCGTGCAGAGTTAGTGAGGAGTCTCCCTCACACCGCCCCTAGTTACACTCCACCATCATTCATGGGCCCCCTTCCCCTCATTATCCTTTCTGGTGGAATCCCTAACTCCCAAGCTGAGCCTCCAGAGGTCTCCGTGTGGTCTGTGTGAGGCAAGAGGGTAGAGTGGGACAGAACGGTGGGACAAGACAGGACAGACCCATGCAGGTTGCCATGTCCTGCCTCACCTGGAGCTCATGGTCCTGCTCTAACCTCGCCTTGTCGCCCCCAGCCACAACCATCTACCCCTGCTCCTGAGAGAGCTTTTTCAGAACAGACTACAAGATGTTAACCTACGCAACTTCAGTTTCGGCCAGACCAGCCTGGACAAGCTTAGGGATGGCCTCGTGGGTGCCCAGGTAAAACAGGGACACACGGGATGCCACAACATGGCTTCTGGGGAACATGGAGGCCACAGAAACCTAAGTAGGCAGTCCTCTCGGTGACTAGGTATAGAACATACAATGTGTCACCGAATGGCTGCTGGGGAGTTTGGAGGTATTGGAGGCCAAGACAAGCTGGCCACATGGGTTCCTAGGTTCTGTGGAGAAGCACAGAAAGTGACCAGAAAAATCCCTGGTTATTGTGAGAAATGCTGGAATCACAAAGGACTTGGTGGATTAGCCTTGGGGCATCCACACAGCACATGGACAAACAGCATGCAATGACGATGTGTCATAAGTTCAGAGTTTGGCTGCTGGCTGCAAGCTGAATAGTCATTAAGGTGCCATGGGGTCATGCAGTGCCTCAGTTGGGCCACTGACCCAGATGAGTACCTTGGGGGCAGAGAAGGAGTGCCAGGTCAAGGCCTGATCTCATCCTGGACCCCTGGGCCCTACCCCTAGTTCTGGTCAGCCTACGCCCCTTGCCAGACCCAGGACCAGGATGCCGTGCGCCTCACGCTGGAGCAGATTGATCTCATTCGTCGTATGTGTGCTTCCTACACTGAACTGGAGCTCGTGACCTCAGCCGAAGGTGGGCTGTCGAATCGGGGGATAATCAAGGGCTTACTCTGGTGCTTCTGGCTCTGGCCCCTGAACATAGCACTGAGCATAACCAGGCACAGCACTTGATTATCCACCCTCTTCTAGATCTGAACAGCACTCAAAAGCTGGCCTGCCTCATTGGCGTCGAAGGTGGTCACTCACTGGACAGCAGCCTCTCTGTATTGCGTAGTTTTTATCTGCTGGGAGTGCGCTACCTGACGCTCACCTTCACCTGCAGCACACCCTGGTGAGCATAGTGGAATGATAGATGGCACTGCAGGGAAACTGCCAGAGAGGTGAGGACAGAGGAGTCCAGAGAGGGAGGCTGGACTGCCACAGGTCCCTCATCCCCCCAGATGGCAGCTGGGCCTTGGTCCTTACCTTGTTCTAGAGGTGGGATGGATGAACAGAGGGAATGCAGAGGCCCCAGGCTCTAATGGCCAAGATGTGGCCCACTAGATTGCCTTCTCTGGCTGTTCTGCAGGGCAGAGAGTTCCACAAAGTTTCAATACCACTTCTACGCCAACGTCAGCGGGTTGACAAACTTTGGTGAGGTGAGTACCCCATTCCCTGCCCTAATCCACCCATTCCTTATAGATTATTGTACATGCGTGCATCCCTGACATACACACACACCCCAAATTTAAAAAAACAAAAACAAAAACAAAACCAAACCTCTCCCACAGAAGGTGGTAGGGGAAATGAACCGCCTGGGCATGATGGTGGACTTGTCCCATGCATCGGACACCTTGGTGCAACAAGTGCTGAAGGTATCAAGGGCTCCTGTGATCTTCTCCCACTCAGCTGCCAGAGCTGTGTGTGACAATGTGCTGAATGTTCCTGATGACATCCTGCAACTTCTGGTGAGTGGCTACCTCAGCCCTCAAACCTAGGGCTAAGCATGAGTCATACAAAGATTCTTGACCCTGAACAAAGCTACCAGGCCAGGTCTCACTTTTGGACCCAAGGCCAGTTAATCCTCCCAATCTCTGAAACTCAAGTCCAATCAGTTCCACTCAGGAACCCACTCTGGAACTTCACCAGAGGAGGTGAAGTATCTTCCAGCCCCTCAAGCCAGGACTGGGCACTGTCCCACCAGGGCCCTGGGGACACAAGGGGCAGGCCAGTAGACTAGAAGGGCCAAACTAAGTATCCACTTGTTTATCCCTGTAGAAGAAGAATGGTGGCATCGTGATGGTGACGCTGTCCATGGGGGTTTTACAGTGCAACCTTTTTGCTAACGTGTCCACTGTGGCAGGTGAGCCCCACCTCAATTCCTTGTGCAGTTCTAGCTTGGGCCTGTGGCCATCGGGGCCCTCAGGACAGCTCCAGCTGTCTAGCACACCTCTTGGGCAAGGGACAGACTTCCCAACAACCCAGGGGAGTACATACGGCTCTTCACTACCTCCCAGATGTGGACCCACAGTCAATGTTGATGGGGTTGGGCAGGCAGTTCTGCGTCTGCATCTTATTTTTACTCCCACCCCTCTGGACAGGGCAAGCAGAGCCCCAGCTAGGCTCCCAAGGTGGCTCCTGAGCAGGAAAAGTTCCGAAGGGGTGGCTCTGAGGTTCACTCTAGGTCCAGTGTCCAGCCTGTAGCCCTGTCAGAACTCACAGCAGGCCAGGAGCTCTCTGGAATCTGCTGCCATGACCTGGAGTACTGTGAGCAGGGAATTGGCCAGGGCTGAGCTTCCCTGGACCAGGGCTGGTCCCAGGGCCAAACTCCAGCCCAGTGCTGCCCACCACTAACCTCCACTCTCTAGATCACTTTGACCACATCAGAGCAGTCATTGGATCTGAATTCATTGGGATTGGTGGAAATTATGATGGGTCTGGCCGGTGAGTGTTTTCCTGGGGTTTTTCCTGGGCTGCGCTACAGCAGGGAGTTATAGTTCCCCATCTCATGGTCCTCCCATCCTTCAAGCCTCAATGGCAGGCTCTTGCCTTCCAAACAACCTAACGTTTCCCCAGTCCCAGGGCCTGTTTCCTGGGCTCTCCCTGTCCCTTCTGTGGCCCACTGGACCCCCTGCTGCTCCAGGTCCTCACCCTAGTTAACTACTCCCCTCCTCTGGGCAGAGCTCATCTGTCCTGCACGAGCTCCACTCTCAGCGCAGCAGATCTGTTGTGAACTGATCATCTGCTCAATGGTTAGATGCTGCAGAAGTCCAGTCTCCAAGGAGCTTCCTAAGTTGCCTTCAGCAGACTGAAGCATATGGCCTTCAATTTCCCATAAGTGACTGGGGCTGTTGGTATAGTGAGCCTAGACCAGTGGTGATCAGGGCCCGGGTCCCACCGCTGGGTGGCTGGTGGCCACACAGGTTTCCTCAGGAGCTGGAGAATGTGTCTACATACCCAGTTCTGATAGAAGAGTTGCTGAGGCGGGGCTGGAGTGAGGAAGAGCTTCAGGGTGTCCTTCGTGGAAATCTGCTGCGGGTCTTCAGACAGGTGGAACAGGTATCAGGCTGGGCTGGGCAAAAGGATGGTTCAGTGGTTTGAGCAGGTGATGGACACGCTGGGGGAGCGACTGCCTGATGACTCCTACCCCCAGGTGAGAGATGAAAGCAGTGGGCAGAGCCCTGCAGAGGATGAGTTTCCGGACAGGCAGGTGGGCAGGTCCTGCCACTCCCATCTCCTGTCTCAGTCTCAGCGTGAGCACCCGGCCACACACCCAGAGGTGTCCAAGAGACCAACCAGTCATATTCTCCAGAGACCCTCAAAAGCCCCCCCACACTCTGTTCTAGGTTTCGTGGTTACTGCCACCTTCTCAATCTTCATCCTGGGGCTCTGGTGACCTGGCCAGTTCCCCAGAGGTCACCTTAGCAAAGTCTCGCAAAGTCTCACAAATTCCCTCTCCTAGTCATCCAGGCACAAGCATATGCTAAGAATAAATATTTTGAGCATCAAACCAGGTGTGAGTGTCCTTTCTCTTTGACATGACAGGGGGCGAGGGGTGGGATCCAGGAGGCTCTTGCATGGTGAGGGGTCTTGTGGTCTAGCTCTAGCTGCCCAAGGTGAGTGGCTCCTAGTGCCCTCCAGCTTTGTCTCATCTCAGGAAGGCAGAGGCATCTTACCATATTTTATGCTGAAAGCCCACAGAACACAAATGAATCAAATTCAGAGTTGACTCCTAGCTGGGGGCATGCTAGAGGCAACCCATTGATGTATCTCTCGCACATCAATGTTTCTCTCCCCATCTTTCTCTTTCCCTTCCCCTAGCTCTAAAAATAAAGAAATAAAATTTAAAAAATGGACAAAATGGGTAAGCTAAATTACATTAAAATTAATAACACGCTTATCATAATTTACCACTAATAAGAGTGAGAAAGCAAGCCACAGAGTGGTAGAAATTTTTATATTTTATTTTTTGAAGATTGTTTTACTTTATTAATTTCTAAAATGAGGGAAAGGGAGGGAGAAAGAGAGGGAAAGAAACATCAGTGTGTGGTTGCCTCTTGTGTTCCCCAAACTGGGGATCTGCCCCACGACCCAGGCATGTGCCCTGATTGGGAACTGAACTAGTGGCCTTTCATTTCACAGGTTAGTGCTCAATCCACTGAGCCACACCAGCCAAGGCAGAAGTTGTTTTTTTTTTAACAGAAAAGTTAATCAATGTTTAGGGATGCATGCTCAGGTCGTGCTTTTATGTAAGAAACCGAGACAGTAATCATTAGCATCAGGTTGTTTAAGATGACAGGTGAAGGAGGCATGAAGGAGCTTCTGGGGCCTGGCAAGGTCTACACCTTGACTTTGGTAGTGGTCATTTAGATGTTTACTTTGTGATAACACATTGAGCTGCCAAATAGTGTGAACAGTCCCTATACTGTCCTCTCACTCCCCACTCTCCCAGCAATCACCTGAAACGTTTTTAACTGTTAGTATTTACTGGCATTTTCCTCCATACTCCTAAATAATACAATATATAACTGACAGCTATTTAGTCATCAATTTCATGATTATTCATTGAATCAGAAATTTGAAAATTGCAGATTTTTAGCTCTTACTCCCTTCTTTTCCTCTCACCATCCTCTAAATATTAGAATTATTTAATTAATTATATACTAGGGTTTTTTGTTTGTTTTTAAAAAGCTTTATTGACATATAATTCATATACCATACAATTCACCCATTTAAAATGTACAGTTCAATGGTTATTGTATATTACATTATTTTTAAGTTGTCAAGATATATAAGATAAATTTGCCATTTTAAACCTTTTTTGGTAATTTTTTTAAGGACTTATTTATTTTTAGAGAGAGGGGATGAGTAGGAGAAAGAGTGGGAGAGAAACATCAATGTGTGGTTGCCTCTCACTGGCCGCTCACTGGGGACCTGGCCTGCAACCCAGGCACACGCCCTGACTTGGAATCAAACCAGCGACCCTTTGCAGGCCAGTGCTCAATCCACTGAGCCACACCAGCCAGGGCCATTTAAAACATTTTTAAGAAGACAAATCAGTGACATTAATTTCACTTACAAATACTGTGCAAACATCACCACTACTTCCAAAACTTTTTCATTACATCAAATAAAAACTTTGCATTCATTAGGCATGATTCCCCATTGGCCCTTGGCTCAGCTCCTGGTGACCGCTATTCTACTTTCAGTCTCTACGAATTTTTCTATTTCAGCCAACTTATATAAGGGAAATTATACAACTGTCCTTTTGCATCTAGCTTATTCATATAACATAATGTCTTTCAAGGTTCACCCATGTTGCAGCATATATCAGACTTTATTTCCTTTTATGGATGAATAACAGTCCCTGGGGTGCATAGATCACAGTTTGTTATCTATTCACCTGTTGATGGAAAAGAAACAGGTTATCTCCATCTTTTGGCTACGCCATAAACATTGGCATACAGGTATCTGTTTGAGTCCTTACTTTTAATTCTTTTGCGTATATGCATAGGATGGAATTGCTGGGTCACACTGTAATTTTAGGTTTAGCTTTGTGCAAAACCACCAAATTGTTTTCAATAGCAGCTGTGCCATTTTACATCCCCACCCCAGCAATGTACAAGGGTTTCAATTTCTCCACATCCTCCCCAGCTCTTATCTTTCTTTCTTTTTTTATAATAGCTAATGTAAAGCGTGTGAAATGATATCTCAATCACCAATCTCACATTGTGGTTTTGATTGTGTTTATCTAATAGCTCATGATGTTGAGCTTCTTTTCCTGTGCTTATTGGCTATTTACTTGTATATCCCTAAGCTGCAAGTCAGTGAGTGTCCTTTCTCGCTCTCTGAAGCCATTTTTGGACTGGCTTGGGAAGTCATCCTGTTCCCCCAACAGGGCCTCATGGTGTAATAACATTTCTATCCTCTTGGAGTGCATGTAGCTTTATTAGTCTTGACAACTGAATGAAATTTTGGAGAGGATGGGTCTATCCTGTTTCTACGGGGTGACCTCAATGCATTGTCAGGGCAATGGTTATTTCATCTAAAGCTAATTTAACCTGACTACTAAGGCAATGCCTTTCTTACGCACCAATCAATGGTGCGTATGTCAAAAGGTCTTTCCCTCTAGCTGGCAGGAACACAAACTATGTGAGCTCCAGGAATTATTCGGCCAATATCTTTCCAGTGGTTCCTTCTCTGGTCTTGTATGAACTTCCTCTTATGTGTGTACAGATCAATCTTCTGGCTGACTCAAAGGGACCCTCTATAGATCTCCAGGCTTCTCTTTTTGTGTAGCATCCTCCTCAATGGTATTCTGTCTGTCCTGCAAATTCCAGCTGCTTTGGCTTTCCCGAATGCAGAGATTTTTTTTTCCTTCTCAATTCAGCAAGACCATTGGGTTCTGAGTTGAGGTTCCCCACTCCTCCCACTCCCAAACTACAGTATGGAATTTATCTCTAGGGAATAAGCTAGTACAATCATAAGGCTCACACCATTTATTTCTCTTCCACCTGGCATCACAGTCCTGTATCACCTATTGCCCAATGTCTCAAAACCACCGTTTTATACAGTTCTATTTAATATACACAGAAATGTAAATTTGGCCCCTATTGTGCCATCATGGTTGGAAGCAGAAATTCCACTGAGGTATTCTTTACAACCAATGATCGGTTTCTGTAAGTGTCCCAAGTACACTTGACAAAAATATATAATTTTCCAATTACTAGATACAGAACTATATACATGTCCATTAGGTCAAGCTCATTAATTGCATCGTTAAAATCTTTCCTATCCCTGCTGGGGGGTTTTTCTTGACCTATTTGTAACCATGACAGTTGTGTTGAAATCTTCTACAGTGATGGTATATTAGCTCTAGAAATTTCTTTTTATTGAAATGAACTTAACATACCATAAACTTAACCATTTTAAAATGAATAATTCAGTAACATTTAGTACATTCACAATGTTGTGTAACCACCACCTCTATCCACTGGGCCACACCAGTCAGGGCTCCAACTTTCTAATTCATTCTCAACTATAACTTCCTGCTATTAGATCACCTACTGTGTTCTTTGTTTCAAATATTATTGCAGTAATTTTTATACCTGGTGCTATATTTCTTGGATACTTCTTCCATCCACAGATGAGTGCTATGCCTTCCCATCCCTTTTTGAATCTGGGCTTTGTAACTACTTGACCTGTAAAATACGCAGAAGTGATAGTGTGCCTGTTTCCAGGCCCAGGCCTAGGCCTAGAGAAACTGTTAGCATCTACTCCCTGCTCCTTGGGAGGCTTATCCACAGACTGCTGCCACTAAAGCATGAGGAAGCCACACAGTCCATAGACAGGTCCGCATGCAGAGGACCAGTGCTCTGCTCCACAGTCCCACTGAGCTCTTTGCCCACAGACAAAAACAACGTGCTAGTCACATGAGTGAGTCGTCTTGGAAGTAAATCCTCTGGCCCCAACTGATGCCATGTGAAGTAGAGATAAGCTTTACTCAACTTAAGGGTTTGTGAACAAATGAATGTTTTTGTTAATTGTTGTTTTAAGCTACTATGTATTGGGGTAATTTGTTATGTAGCAATAAATCACTGGAACAATTTTATTTCTCATATCTTATATTTCTCCTTTTTAATATTTCCCTGTTTCATACTGCTGATAGTCTCCCTTATCTTTTGTTAGACTAATTTTGAATTGCTGATCAATGTATTCTAATAATTTTCCTGATACATCTTTTCTTTTGAAATGTCTTTGCTTCTCAAATGTATTTTTCGTTTTGCCTGTGAGTACCCTGATGGTGCAGGCTACTTGGTCAGTCAATGAATGGTACGGGAGAAGTTGTATCCTAGGCACAGAGTACCCCAGTTTGTCAGTTGGCCTTTAGTGGCCTATCTCCCTGACACAGCACCTGACCCCACCCCTCAGGAAAGAGGCCATGTGTGGTGACAGGATAGGAGCAGTGTGAACACTGCTGAGAACATGTGTTTGTCTAACTTATAAACCCCAGACACTCTTGTTAAAGGCTTGTACTGCACCCTGGCATGCACCCTGGGGCCAGGGACTGAGGATACCAAAGTGAGAAGACAAAAAGGGTCCTGCTCTTGTGAAATACCCAATCTAGTGGGCACGAAAAACATTAACCAAAGACCCCACAATGCATTTCTTGGTGCAGTGAGGACTATGAAGGGCAAGTGCCCCAGGGGAACACAACGCAGGGAGGGTAATGTAGGGGTGTGGGAGGTGTGTCAGAGAAGTCTTCTGGGGAGGAGGTGGTGCTCCGGGCTAAGAACGACTCGGTATGGAGGAATTTGGTAAGTGAGGGTAGGGGCAGAGAGTCAAAAGGCATTCCGTCAGAGTGAACAGCAAGTGATTTGCAGAAACTCCCTGAGT